CCATAGCTTTTGGAGAGAGGCTCTACTTTATAGAAGTAGGAGAAGGAACGCGTGTCCTGAAAGAGGGACGGTACGTGGGGCATCATGGACGCACAGGATCTTTGATGCTGATGACATCACAGGGTGTCAAGCGAGGCATTGGGTTCCGACGAATGCCAAATGCCGACAGATGGGATCCTACTGGATGGGATCAATTGAGAGGAATACCTTGGGAGCTGAGCGCACCAAGGCCAGTTGCAGGAGAGCGGCTGATCAGCGAAGATCGGTTAGTCGTACCTCCGCCACCGCCTGAAGCGCGAGTGGCACCACCTCAGAGAAGGAAACTGTACATCAGAAGAGAAGATGTGCACAAGCATGGAGCAACTGAAGGTTGCCCAGGTTGTACTTGTGTCCTTGAAAATCGAAGGACAACAGTGCCTCATACAGAAGCTTGCAGGGCAAGAATCATTGAGGCAATGGAGAAAGATGAGACTGGAGCAGAGAGAATCCAGGCGCATGCAAAGAAGCGCAAAGAAGACCAAGAGAGAGACAGACCAAAGCCAGCGGTCGTTTCGACCGAAGAAAGAGACATGAGTGTAGAAGATGCAGAAGGTAGACCGGTTGAACCGAGCGGCGTTAATCCGCCGCAGGAGATACCGGAAGATCCAAATGAGAGAGCAAAGCTCAAGAGGCAAGCGATGCCAGCGTCAGAAGCAAAGGCAAAGCCAAAAGTGTCGCCACAGCAAGTGAAGCGACCTGGAGGTCTGAGCATTGCATCAGGACCACCACTGACCAAGGCAAAGCCATCGCCGACACAAGGTTTGAAGCGTACCGCCGAGGAAGGTACGGGAGAATTGGAGAGCAGAACCACCGCTGAGCAAGCGGCTGTTCCAGCCGCTGCACCAGCAGCGGAGAGTGCACCAGGCACGGGCGCACAAGTCTTGAAACGAGAAGCTTTAGCTGTGTTGAAAGAGGTTGCTATAAGGACAACGCCAAGAGCTTGGTGGAAGTAACATACAAGAAGAATGGGATTGAAATCTCATCTCAAGAAATCGCTGACATTGCGAGTTTGAGTTGTGAAATGGCAGCAACAGACATTGCAGAGGTTTACTCACCGAAACGTTTTCCAGCGCTCGCGCAGCAGTACAAGCTGAGGCCAGGATTTGCTGTCGATCTTAGAATCTTTGTGAGACAAAGGAAAATGGTGAATACTGGAACCTCAACAAGACAGCGGACGTGGAACTTCTTCATGAGCTGATAGACCGTGAAGAGCCCCTGTTGATCACAGGCAGTCCGCCGTGCCATTTATTTTCAAAGTTGCAAGCGATCAGTTGGAACAAGATTCCATCAGAGATCGGAGAGAAAAGAATGAACGAAGCATTGCATCACCTCCACACGTCATGTGATGTGTATGAAAAGCAGATCCAGCAAGGTAGTTTTTTTCTTCATGAGGCGCCGTGGGGTGCAACAAGCTGGAAAGATGAAAGAGTTGAACGCATATCCTCAAGGGATGATGTGTATGTGGTGCGAGGCCCTATGTGCAAGTGGGGCATGACGGCTACAGACCGTCGAGGCCTGCAGGGTACAGGCTTTGTGCGTAAAGAAACCGGGTGGATGACAAACCATCCAGGATTGGCAGAACTGTTGGAAACAGAGTGCACAAACAAGACAGGTGGAGCACCATGGCACCGCCACGTCCATTTGATTGGTGGCATAGCCCAGCAAGCGGCAAAGTACCCGCCGCAGCTTGTAAGAGCTGTGCTCAAATGTTTGAAAAGAGAACTGGAAGAAAGAGGTGAACTAAACGCCGCCGATGCTCACAGTGCAGGACCAGTTCCAGAAATGCCAACCATAGACCCAGAGTGGGAAGAGCGGTGTGTAGATGATGTTAATGGGGGAGTGCTTCCAAAAGAGGAAGTTGCAAAGGCTAGACCGGTAGAGATGCAGTATCTTCACAAACAGGAAGTATACTTGCCAGTGCCGATTGAACAGTGTTTTGAAGAAACAGGGAAAGCCCCGATCAAGACCAGATGGCTTGATACAAATAAGGGTGATCCAAGTCCCCCGAACTACAGAAGCAGGCTAGTTGTCAAGGATATAAAGGCCGCGAAACGGCCTGAAGACGAGCTACCTGCAAATCTTTTGTTTCAAGCACACCGCCTCTTGAAGCAATGAGGCTGCTGTGCTCATTGTGGGCGACCAAACAGAGGTCGATCCATGGTGAAAGGCTGAAACTTGGTTTGTGGGACATATCCCGCGCACACTTCTATGGAACGCCAAAACGCAGGATATTCATAGATCTTCCCAGCGAAGAGCCAAGAGCTGAGGGAGGCAAGATGTGTGGACTCCTTCAGAAGTCTATGTATGGAACACAAGACGCACCGAACATATGGCAGTCCCATTACTCAGGGATTTTGATAGAAGGTGGGTACAAGCGTGGAAAATCCAACGCTTCGGTATTTTACCACCCACAGCACGATGTCCGTGTAGTGGTACATGGAGATGACTTCTTAGCACTATAGGTGATCAGAAACATCTCAGTGAGCTGGAAGACTTGCTGCGCAAGCCTTATGAGCTGAAATGTCTCGGAATCATCGGAGATCAACCTCAGGACAAGAAAGAGATCCATTTCCTGAACCGGTTGATTCGGTGTGGTGAAAATGAAGGAAGGCCAGCAGCATGGATTGAACCTGATCGCAGGCATGTGGACCTGCTGATCCAGAGCTTTGGCATGACAAACGCCACAGGCGTAGAAAGTCCAGATGTAAAGAAACCTGCAGACCAACAGTGTTAACAGGCTCTTGAAACCAGGAGCCCCTTGCTTCCAAAGGAAGCCGCGTCAGAGTTCAGATCCGCAGTAATGCGGGCAGCATATCTGTCGCAAGACAGGCCAGACATTGGCCATGCAGTCAAGAACCTCGCAAGACGGCGTTCAGCCGACCGAGGCTAGCTTGACAGATTTGAAGAGACTGATCAGATACTGAAGTCTGGCTCAGGTTTTCAAAGCACAAAGGACACCTGAGAGACTTGTCATACAGGCCGATAGTGATCATGCAGGAGACACAGTGACAAGAAAATCGACCACAGAAATGATTGCCTTCTATGGGCAGCATGTCCTAAAGCACAGTTCGAATGTGCAGTCAACCATTGCACTTTCAACAGGTGAATCAGAGTACTATGCTCGGGTTAAAGGTGGAAGTACCGGGCTGGGAATTCAGTCCCTATTGGCTGACTATGGTATCAATGCGGCTGTCACCATCGAGTCAGACCCGAATGCTGCAAAAGGTACAGTCAACCGTGTTGGACTTGGCAAAGCACGCCATATCCAAACCCGTTACTTGTGGCTGCAGGAACGAGTAGCCGAAAACCACCTTAAGGTCGTGCATGTTCCAGGTAAACAGAATCGATCAGATGTTCTGACGAAACCTGTGCCTGGTACGCAGATGCATCAGACTATGACAAAGTCAGGGTATGTGTATCTGACAGATCGGGCCAAAGGCCAGCTGAATCTTCTTAAGTGAAGGCCCTGGCCGGACTCCGCCACCTTTCGACTGTAGGTGAAGAAGGTGAACTGAGAGCCGGAAGTTAGCTCTTTGCCAGTGTACATAAAATCACTCTTCAAGAGAGGAGGGGTGAAGATATGTACATACCATATATATCCCTTACGTGCAGTGTAAAGATCCAGGGGTTTAGCATGAGCCCGATGTTACCTTTTGGCTCAAGTAAAATCGAGCTCCGCAGCTCGATATTGTGTTTTCAAATAAGATAAAAGATTTAAGATTTAATATTTAAGATGTAAGATATAGTTTTTAATTTTTATTTATAATATATAAATAAGATAAAAGATATAATATTTAAGATATAATATTTAAGATATAATTTTTAAGATTTAATATTTAAGATATAAGGTATAAGATTTAAGATGTAATATTTAAGATATAATATATGAATATCAGATATAAGATAAGATATATAATATATAAGATATTACAAAATATAATGTATAAGATATATAACTGGGTTTTCCTTTTGGACATTTTTTATTTTTTTGGATTTTTGTTGCTTCTTGCTTAACATCGCCTGGCCATCGCTCAACCTTTGACTTCAAGAAGATCCCTGGGAGCAGCGCTCTTGATTGAGGCACTATTGGCCGGTCGTTTTTCCTTGAGTGTTCATTTCAACCTTTGGGTTGCAGCTTTCAACCCTTCTTTGCGAGTTTTTTTTTTGGATGGTGGGGAAGGGTGGACTCATTTCGTTGAAGGGTTCTGCTCCCTGCCACTGTCAGGCATTTTGGCGGCTGCTCGGCTTGCGCGGCTCCTGCGGCTGCTGCGGCGCGCCTGCTGCTGCCTTGGCCTGCAGCTCCTGCGCCCCTGCTGTTGGAGGCATTGCATCATCGCCGGCTGAGCTACTTAGTATTAATTTAGGGTTTATATTATTATTGCAGACAGATAGATAGATTATACTTCATTATATGTGTCATTGCATATATGTCATTCCCATGGGTAATGTATGGTCACTCTTGGTCCAACAGGGCATATCCCACATCATCCTTAGTCGACAAAGAACTATGTTGTCATTCATGGTGTGTATGTGTGAAGACCAAAGAAGCATGAGATCAGAAGTTCAAAACATGGACGTATTCTTTAAGGACGAATCCTCTTTTGTTTCAAGCATTGGTGACTAGTTGTTTTTCATATCCCCATGCAGTACTTCCACATGACTTTGCTTGCGCAGGTGGTTGCTTGCGGCTTCAGCGGCGTCAGCGGCTTGGCACTTGCGGCTTCAGCGGCTGCAGCCGAGGCTCGCACCACCGGTGTGGTTGATGACACCCTGGGTATTTGATGCTTTTGAATTACCATTGAACCCCAAAAGCATCCCCAATTATTTGATGCCGTCGAATTCGAAAAATCATCAACGCAGTGAGTTTGACCTACACTCATTCCATGGACGGTTCACCTCTAAAAGAGCAGCTCACTGGCTCAACGGCTTGGCGGCTTTCGTTTGGCACTTGATCAGTTGTGATGGCGGCTACGCTGCGCAATCTTTTTGGTGGAGGAAAGCAGCGTGCTCAGTCTAGCAACGATGCAAATGCTGAGGGGCCAGAGCCAGGTGACATTGTTGTGACAGGCACACCTGTTGTGACAGGCACGCCTGTTGATCTCGATGGTGAAGCCTTGCCGTCGCAGCTCGCTGAAAACTTTGAAGCGGCTGAAGCGGCTGAAGCGGCAGTGGTGGCTCAAGGGGGTTCAGCGCTTGAAGCAGAGGAAGCGCTCCAGGTGACCGAAGTTGCACAGAGGGCCCATGATCAACGGGTCTACATTGCTCAGACTCTGGGGTGCAACTTGAGGAATTTCCAGCACAACATTTGCCTCCTCAACGGTGACCAGATCCAGCGGCTCACCTTGGACATCAACACGGCCCCTTTGTGGATGCAGGAGACGTACGACACGCAGGTGAATTTTACCTGGGCTTTGGCTGGCTTCAATGTCCTGCTGAGCTCGTTTTTCCCTGGTGGCAAAAAGACTGCGCAAGGCATGGACCAGGTGTGTGCAAGCCCCTAAGCAGCAAAAAGATGCAAAAAGGGCCAAATGGCTGCTGTTATTTCTATGTCTAAAAATGGCAATGATGGGTATATGTTGTAAAACATTGTAAGATTGGTCGATTGCTTATTCGTATTACTATAGTAATAATTATTATTGTTATTATATTGTGCAAACTTAGTTGATTGTTAATCACCTTGCAAGGTATCAGAGGTAAGTTGTACAGTTAACTGAGATGAAACACCAATGTTTTGAGAGATCCCCTGACGTATGAAAATCCCCGATGCAACGATGGTGGACCAAGCGAAGGATTTGCTTCAGCAGTTCCCGCAGCGCTCAAGCATTCCTCCGCGCTGGCAAGTCGCTGCTCGCATGAAGGGTAGTGTCGGATGCGAGTGTGGCAGAGAATAGGGCCCCAGAAATTACCACAGGGGAAATTTAAACCAATCAGGGTCCGAAGACATCAACTGTTCAAAGCTTCCCCTTTTTTTCGCAGCTTCCCTTTGTCATGAATGGGCAAGCAAGGGGATACGATCTGCAAGAAGTAGAGGACAGGGTTGCGCATCGCTGGGAGATGTGTGGCTTAAAAACATGCTTTGATAATAACTTCAACACACGATCTGGAATCCAATAGAACATGGTCCTCACTGGTTTGACTAGCCCCAGCAAGAATAACTGATCGAACTTGCAGCTAGGACCTACAGGAAGCCACCGCAACAACAACGGCAACCACAATAACAATCAACAATCAGAGCCGCAACACGAAGATCAAACACAATAGCAACAAAGCCTAGAAGTAGCAGCAGCAAGGTGAGGGCCACCAAGTGTACCCACGAAGACGGGAACCACAACAACAGCGACGAGAATAAGCATCCCCACAACGATAGCAAACACAACAAGTACAACTACAATGTGCAGCAAACACAACTACCGCCACACCATGGATAACAAGGTCAACCTGACAGCGGGGACAGCAATGATGACAAAGATTGCAATGATGGCGACGACCACAGACACAGCACCAAAGGAAAGCGCATCCACCACAGTGACCACAACTAGCACAACCACGACAATGAGACAAAGCCAACAATCACAACAGCAGCCACAACCACAACCATTTCCAAAATATCTACGACAACGACAGCCCGACATGTGTACAGAAGCAGCAGCAAAAACAATAACAGGAACAATCAAGACGAACAGCAACACGCATTGGTCTGGCACTACAGCAACGAAAGCATCAACGATAAGGACAACGACAACCACCGCCATCACCACCGCCAGCAGCAGCAGCAGCACCACCACCACCACCACCAGCAACACCAACACCACCACCGCCACCCCCACTCCGACCACCACCACCACCACCGCCGACAACAACAACAACAACAAAATCAACATCAACAAAAACAGCAGAGGCGACAAAGACAAGCACAAAACAGCTGCGATCTGAACAGTTTTTTAGGTTTGTGTATGTGGCAGTGGATTGCTTCTTTTTTACCTGGCAGGAAGACGGCTGGGGTGGATGGGCTCTCCCTTTCAACAGGGACGATGGTCTTTTGCTGCACATGAGCCTGTACGGCAAGGATTGCTTGCAGTTTGTGAGGGCATTTCTGAGAATGTCTGGGCTGGGAACCGCTCGATCGGAACCTCGCAGCTTGGTCAACTTGCAGGGAGATGATGAGCAGGCAATTCCTCTGGAGGCTCGCAACAAGATGCTGTTGAAGAGCAGCTTTTTCCATAAGAGCTTCGAGCCTTCGCATGCATCAATGCAGAAGGCTGGACTGCTTTTTGCGGCCGATTCCGACCAGACCCTGCGCAATGAGGAGCTGGTCCTCCTCTCCGTCCTGGAGCCTGGCTATGGGCAGCTGGTGGACGGGGCGAGCATGACCAACCAATCCATTTGGGTCACCTCCAGCGGCTTCTTCTATGTTCTGCGGTTTGTCCCCTTCCAGACTGCCAACAGGAAATTCACAACCCCTCTATTCACGCTCAAGGCCTGGACAGCCCCTTCCAATTTTTTATTTTGTGTTTTCTTCAATAAGGTTGACTAGAAGTGAAGTGGTAACTGATAACATATTAACCGAGCCAAGTTCTAGGGCTCGTGCCTCTTGCTTTCTTCCATTCAGGCTGAGATTGTCAAGGGGGACTTTGCCAACGATGACTTCATGGTCCGGCAGAAGAAGGATGTGGACGTGATGTGGACTGGGACTGGAGGAGATGACTTCGCATTGGTCTGGGATGGCTACCAGGTGGATTCTTGGTTTCAAGTCAGCCAGGGCTTGCCGCATGCGCTCATACTTTTTTGTTCTGGGCGCTTTCTTATCTTAAGTATTTCTAAGACATTGCTTTCTTCCTGCAGGGGATCTGAAACTCAAATATTGAACTGTTTCTTGAAATTGCTTGGACTGGTTGGGTCGGGTTTCAAAAATAAATTAATGTAGTAACAAATTGTTTTATTTATGCAAAGGTTGACATGAATCAGCAACTAGGATAGGATACCAGTGTTCTTCCTGACAAATTGGCATGTCATTGTTTTGGGCGTAATATGTCATGTCTCAGGAGCGGATTCTGGCGGTGAAGAAGGGCGGGAACTACCACGTGATGGCCATGCAGCTTGTCCGCCCTTTGGATGCAGTGGGTGCCCCCTACAGCATTGCCGTTGGTCGCTGTGTCAGGGCACCAGCTGGCTTACACCTGGGATTGATGGCAGGGGGAGCCCAGTCATACTGTGTGCAGACCATGCGCCAGACTGGTGACGCGGACCAGAGTCGTGCAGCACACAAGGGCGGCAAGAAAGGCGGCTGGGGCAGCGGGAAAGGCGGCTCTGGCGGCTATCGGCAACAGCGTGATGGATGGGACCATGCACGCAGCGGCTGGGGTGGCCCTGCACCTGCACAAGCGGCTCAAGCGGCTCCTGCGGCCGCAGCCGCACCTCCGCAAGCAGCCTCCGCTCAACAAGGACCACCTCCTGCTCAACAAGGTCCGCCTCCTCCGGCACAAGCAGCCTCTTCTCAACAAGACTCACCTCCTGCGGCTCCCAAGGCTTCTGCGGCTCCCAAGGCTTCAGCGGCACCAGCGGCTCAGCAGGAGTATTGGGGCAATTGGTGGGAGGATGGCAGTCAGTGGTGGGACGATCATCAGAATCAGTACCAGGATGGTGGCGTGGACCCATACGACGAGTGGGCAGAAGACGTCTAGATGGCGCAGAGCTGCACAAAGCGGCATTTTTGGAAAAGTCCCAGCATGATCACTGGGCAGATCGAGCTGCATGAAGCTGCAGCATTTCAACCAGACCTTCCATGGCAAGCGCATGGAAAAAAGAAGTGGGCTATAGCACTTCTCAGTTGAGAGGAGGAAAGGGAGTAGCATCATTGTGCGAATTTCTTATTAGTCAATACCATTGAATTGCATGTATTTAATTTAAACAATGGCAGGAATTATAGAAACCATAGCAGCTGCAGCGTTTCCCCGTGAGCATTTTCTTTTCATGGTCAGATCGGCTTGTTTTACCCCAATCCTCCATGCCACAGCACGTTGCTGGTCAGGCGTGCCTCTTCCCAAGCTGCAGCTGCTCCAGCGCAAGCGTGCGCGGATCGAAGGCCTTTTTGTTGGATTGCATGTTGCTGATAATAGTTTAAGTAATTTGTTACATAGATTTACATAGTATGATTGAAATTTTGCGCTGAGATAATGCTGGAGAGAGGATGTAAACAGATTGCTGTTGAAAGGCGCAGACGTCTAGTGATTGGGGCAAACATGGTTCCAATATGACGTCAGAAGAAAGCACTTCACATGCAGGAACAGGTAACTACTATTAAAGTGGCGGCTTTCTACTACAATCACCATAGCAGTTCCAGTGTTTCAGCATGAGCTTCTTTCATGACCAGATCGCCACCCCTTTTTTCTCCAATCCGCCATGCACGTTGCTGGTTAGGTTTGGCCCTTCCCAAGCTGCAGCTGCTCGAGCGCAAGCGTGTGCGGATTGAAGGCCCTTTTCTGGATTGCATGTTGCTGATGGTAATAATAAGTAAATGTAACTTATTGTTACATTCGGTTGGAAGTCTACGCTGAGATAGTGAGAGAGCATGTAAACTCATTGCTGTTGAAGGCTAAGGGGTATTGTCATGTGATTGGGGCCAATATTGTTCCAATATTTATTGAAGATTTTACTTTACATGCAGAAATAGGCTCCAATGAAAATAAGTTTGTTTTCTACTATTCAATCAAGCATACCAGTTGCAGTGTTTCTGCCTGAGCGTTTCCTTCTTTCATGACCAGATCGGCACCTTTTTTCCACCAATCCTCCATGCAATAGCATGTTGCTGGTCAGGTGTGGCCCCCTCCAAGCTGCAGCTGCTCCAGCACAGGCGTGCGCGGGTTGAAGGCTCTTGGCTAGACTGCATTTTCTTTGCCTGATTATTTTTCAATATGTAGACTGAATTTTCGAGCAGCGAGAACGTTGAAGTCAACATTTCAAATCGTTGCTGCTGAAAGGCTCAGAGGCTTTTTTTGGGGGCAAACACCATTCCAATTTGAAGTCAAGTCAAAGAAGTGACTCCACATGCAGAAATAGGATACAATGGAACAGAGGCATTTTCTACATTGACATCTTGATAGTGTGTTTGTTTTCATGCCTCCATCAAACCTTGGACAGCGCTGGGGATTGACAGCGGCTGGTTCTGCCGCCTCCAAGCCTAAGGGGAAACGGAAGCGTGGGGAAAGCGTTTCCGCTGGTCAGCCCAAGCAGAGGAAAAAGGCCAAAGCTTCTCTGGCTTCAGCGGCTTCAGCGGCTTCTGCGGCGCCAGCGTCT